GGTTGGGACATGCGATGTCAGCAAGCGGAGGCTGAGGGAACCGCATTAGATGGTCGAATAACTGAGATCGGATAACTGAGATGGTTGAATAACGACGCGCGGACGCCTCTGCCCGTCGCCCCTCAAACGAGTGAGACAGCAAGCACGATCAACGTCCGGAGACAGCCACACGCCGTACGACGCGCAGACGTCGTCCGCCGTCCCTCCAATGAGTGAGAAGGCAGCGAGCACTGCAATCACCGATGCCACTCACCATACAATGCTCATGAGCCCCGACACAGCCAGGACTCACCGCACAAGTCAGCCGTGAGGGGGTTTACAGGCATGAGTACGTCCGTCCATCCTTTCCCGAAAACAACTTGAACACTGAGCACCGCAGCCCGGCCCTCCAAGCCTTCCAGATCACCAACACGCATCGCTATCTACGCCCATTGTCCCTCGCTTGCATCTTTGGTGATTCAGAGTAGCGGCTCCTCATCTCCGCTCATCGTGTACGCTCACCGTGAGGTAGGCTGACTGCTATCCTCACATTGTCGACACTAATTGTTCACGCCCACAGTTTTCACCACCGTCAGGTCTGGCTACTCGTCATGCCTGCACTTCTGCTCTCTGATGTCTATTGTCTGTCGCTCCTTGGCCGTCGTTGTTTCCATTATCCTGGCCGCCCACGCGAGGCTACGCATCGCTAGCTATCACTCAGTCATGCCTCCTTCTCACCGTAGCTACCGCATCTAGCGCCACTATCTCCCTCATTCCATGCGTGTTCGTTTTAGCTTTGGAACGATTGATTACGCCACCGTCTTTGCCCACTCTTCACGCGTTCGGTCCGCAGACCACACCTCTTCATATCAGTACGGCGGTCCCACTCAGTTCCTTAACAATAACTCCAAAGCCGAGCGGAGAAGTCACTCCCATCGGTCGTGGTGGCTATAATCTCTGTGACAATTTGCGTTGGAAAGAGGCGCTGTTCGCAGAATAATGACGAGGTAGGGGCTGCATAAGTGGATTTGGTTGTACGGGCATTGCTTCAATGGCCTCTTTCTTAGCATGCATGTAAATGATTCAGAATGTCCGCGATCGCTCCAATCATATGCATCTGGTATCACAGCAGATGATGCAAGAAACTGCCTTCTCTGATGGAAGGAAGGATGGATGTCAATTCGGGGGACAACAGGGGCCAGTTTAACCGAACTCACGGGTGTTGGCTTAGGGTTGTCGGACTAGATGGTATGTAAATGTATAGTATTACATTGCCAATGTTCTCGTGCTGACGCGCGGATCGCTGCCGCACTTATATAAGGGTCTGTCGAAAAAATTGCCTTCTAGGATGCCCTCTGTCGATCTTTATCGTTGACTGCATGTCAAAACAAGGATTCCTATGCCACTGTATATCGAATCAATGCGGTGGGGTGCCCGTTGACTATACCACCTACTGAGAACACAAAGCACAGGATCGGTCCATGCCGGAGCCTAAGGTGCGATGACTTTGTACTAGTGATGATCGAGGATTGATGTAATGAGATGATGATGACAGTCGAGTAAACTTCCTGCTTCAGGGCCTAGCCATGACGAATGTCGCAGAAGCTCGTCAACGGAAGAAGGCCCTTCTGTGCAGAAAGGCGCATTCGCCACAAAGCAGTGTGGGGTCACGTTGCGAAATGAATCACTGTGTTCTCCGGCACACTCGGTCATGGATGACAGGCTGAAGTCGCCTCCAGCGCACGGAGAATGGGACGGCGGTGCTGCTGCCCATGTCGACGAGGAAACAAAGGATTACGGGAAGCTCTTCCTCCTTGACTTGCAAATCGACCTGCGCACCCGCGATTGTACGGATCTGTACCGAAGAGGGATGGAGTATCCGCGGAACAGCAAGCAGGCACTTGATATCTCCAAGCGCTTACAAGCAGAGCAGTGCTGGTTTTCTCAAGCCATCAATGAGGTGCTCGAGACTGCTAACGGACCATACGGTTCTGCGTTGCACATGTTACGGTCTGCAATGCTGCAGCAGCTGCATGGGCAGC